CCTCAAATGGGGGAGAACCATAAATTCCACTCACTCATAAACAACATCCAAATGAAGTGTATATACTGTTCAAGTGAGACACATAGTTGCAATTCTCTGTGGGTGCCCTCCCGAGCTTACCACCGTACAAACTACACACTAATGTACTTTTCATACCTCTGGGTCTAGTCCAATTGCTGAGAGTAACTAACCACTTGCCCTCCAGAGGATTTACCCCCCTTCCTGACCAAGCTACGTTTTGCGTTACGGCGCTGCGTTACTTTAACTGACAATTGCGCAGTCATGCAACACTGCACCCAACTGAAATATTTACGTCCTTTTTTCCCCAAGAATAGAGCTTTCTTTCAGTAGTATTTGATTGCCTGTGGTTTTTTTTTTTTTTTGCGCACTAAAAAAAAGACAATTTAGAGAAAAAAAACAATATTTTTGACTTCTTGCTATTAAACATGTCCTGTAAAAAATATTTAAAAAATCTAATTTCGTCATAGATTTAGGCCAAAATGTATTCTGCTACATGTCTTTGCTAAAAAAAATCCCAATATGCGTAAATTAATTGGAAGTTATAGCGTTTACAAATGGCGGTATATATACTGGGATTTGTTTATCATTTTTACTAGTAATGGCAGCGATCAGCTACTTATAGCGGGACTACGGCAGGCATTCTGACTGGGGGGGGGGGGGGGGGGGGGGGGGACTGACTTGGTGTCACTGACATGCCCAGTGGCACCAATACAGTGATCAGTGCTAATAAAAAGCCCTTACACTGTACTAATGGCACTGAGCAGGAAGAGGTTAACATCTGGGGTTATCAAAGGGTTAACCTGTGTCCTGTTTTACTGTGTGCTGTGTGTGTGCTTTACACTGTAATCACATTGCTTTGCATGGAACTGTGCTCGAGCAGACAGGGGAGAGAACTGTATTTTTTTACATACAGTTCTCTCCCTCCGTCGGTTATGCTCCTCGATCACCGGGTGCCGGCAAGTAATCACCAGCCAGGACCTGGTGATTGACAGCCAAGGTCGCGAATAGCGGCAGGTTTCCTACAAAGAAATGCGAAATCACGTATATATATGTGATTTTGCGCACCCGTGCTGCCCTGTAGCAGTATTATTGCTATAGGGCAGACGGGAAGCAGCTAATGCCACCCACAAAAGAAAAAAATAAACAAATGAACAATATGAGTAAATGAATATAAAGGGTGTACATCACTAAATTGGCCTAAGTAGTGCACCAGTTGGGAGGAGAAGGAAACAGGAGTGAGATTGAGCTGACTGACACACACTAACACACAGCTTACAGCTTTCAGCTGCCAAGCCACTCTGAACTGTGAGCAGGGGCGATCACATGAGGCTACTGAAACTCAGTTGCACAAGTAGTTTCTGACTATTTTAAGCACTTGTTAGCTACTCACAGTAAATATACTGCGAGCAGGTGGCAGGTACAGGCACAGCCATCTTCTGGGTTAGGGGAGCACATGCAGCAGATTTCAACCAATGATTTTGGCTGAAACCTGCTGATCGGCTGTGTCCAATCACAAACATACAGAACTTTATGTACACAGGAACAGCAATCTAAAAAACAGGGAGAAAAAACAGCCAGATTAGTAAGTAAAAGCAACACACGTTACACTTGTTAGGCACACAGTTACCTCCTTGATTGCCCCAAATGTAAACCCCTTCCCAGCCAGTGTCATTAGTACAGTGTCAGTGTACAGTATTATCACTGATCACTGTATTAGTGTCAGTAGCGATGTCAGTGACCCTCCCAGCCAGTGTCTGTTAGCACCAGATTGCCCTGCCATCCTATCACAGTCCCAGTATATGTGATCAATAGTCATTACAGTATAGAGCCTACAGCTGAGTAAACTCCAGTTATTGTTTTTTTGTTTTTTTTTTGCCAAAGACCTGTAGAAGAATAAATGTTGACCTACATTTAGGAAGAAATTTGATTTTATGGAGGTAGAAAATATTGTTTCTTTTTTTCACGATTTGCAGTCTTTTTTCATTTATAATAAAAAAATGAAAAAGCTAGTGTCGGTCAAATACCAGCAAAGAAAGCTCTATTTATATGAAAAATTATATAAATTTAATTTGTGTACAGTGTTGCATGACCCCAAAATTGCCCATTAAAGTATCACCATGCTGAATAGCAAGTAATGAAGGGGGTAAAAGTGGTTAAAAGTGGTTAATGAAGTTCTTTTTTAATATAGACTCAGAAGTAGTCAGGAAACTGGATATTGCATTTTGAGAGACCCTAAAATTCTAGAAAGTTGACTTTATTAAACAAAAGTAAAAAAAAATAGAAAAAACAAAAATATTTATTGTTTTATTGAGTTAATGTTCTGTTGTTACTGTGTTTTTATTGTTAACCATTGTTTTCTTAGCAGAAACGCCAACTTGTTCTGACAGTAACAGGGCATGCTCTCAGAATATATGTCAGTGAATGTAGCGCTGCTGGATGAGATTTCTCATCTGCAGTTAAAAAAAAATCAAAAAAACATGGGGTCCTGGGGTCGTCAGTGGGTGGAACACTCCTATGCTTCGGCATATATTTAAAAAAAAAAATATTTTTTGGCAGAGATTTCTTCAACTACTGTATATTGATCAACGTGAATGGAGGAATCTGTTAGGTTCTTTTTTTTCATTCAGCCTGTGGGCTAAACATTTCATGTATTCCCAACATTAGAAGTGGGTGGATCTAAGGCAGTATATTGTAATGGTAGGCATACCACACACACTTTTTCTGGCAGATATTTCTTCTCTTTTTTCATTCAGCCCACAGGCTGCATAAAATAAGAACAACTTATAAACCCAACAAGGAACAGCGACATACTGGTACATCACTGGACTTTGAGTGGTTATACCAGGATGATGCCTGAAGCTGCAAGCATCATCCTGGTATCATTTTTTCCAGCTGGCAGTTGACTTTCATGTAAAAGCAATCCTAGTGAATACCTGTCACTGCCTATTGCTATGACAGGTGATATTTACATTCCCTGTGACAACAATAAAAGTGATCAAAAAAAAAACAGACAGTTTAAAAATACAAAAAAAAAATGAAAGCACCCTTGTCCCCCTGCGCTCGCGTGCAATGGCGTACGCAAGCGCTGGTCCTGTGTTGATATGTAAACAGCGGTTGCACCATGCATGTGAGGTATTGCCACAAATATTAGATTGAGGGCAGTAATTCTAGAACTAGACCTCCTGTGTAAATCTAAAATGGTAGCCTGTAAAGGCTTTTAAAGCATTACCTATGGATATTAAAGATGTATGTAATTTGTCGCCCTTGCATGGGGCGTGCATAGTTTTAAAGCATGTCATGTTTGGTATCTATTTACTTGGAATAACATCATCTTATTTTTTAAATCAGGTAAATTTTATTAACCAGATTTTTACAAAGATATAAAAAAAAAAACAAAAACTACACAGTATATATAGAAAAAGAAAAGTAAAAAAAAGAGACAGTACACTTCACATTCCAAATGATAAACGTAAAATCTAGCACATAGATGGATATTGTCAGGAATGGACTTGCCAGTGGTGGTGGGACTCACCTACCTTGTGGCTGCAGTACCAGGGCTTGCCAGCGGGTGCTCTCAGCAACCAGAGGCTCACTCCTGCAATGAGCCATCACCTGAGGCTGATTACAGCAGGTGTATTTAAGGAATGGCCAGGCCTGTGATCAGGGCCTTGGTGTATGTTTCCCATGAGCCCCTGTACCTGCATCCTGACTGCTTCCTGCCTGATCCTGATTCTGCTTTAATCCCGACTCTGCATGAACTCTGCCTGTCCTGACCTCGGCTATTCCTGACTACGCCTCCGCCTGCTCCTTGTACCTTGCCTGCCCGTTTGCTACCGCCCCGACCTGCCCGACTACGTTTAGTATTGTTCTTATTGTTATCTGTTGGAGGTTTGGTTGCACTGTGTTTATGTTTAGTCTTGCACTGCGTTTATGTACTGTTTAGTCTTTAAAAATTTGTATTGTTTATACTATACCTGGAGCCTGTGTTTCCCTGTGTCAGTCCACACATTTATGGTCTTACCCGGATCCCTAACAGAACACCAAGGCCATTCCTGACCAGAAGTGGCTGCACAGGGAAGCCATCTTGGCTTATTGTTGCTGGGAAGGATGCATCTTGATGAGGTGGTATATTTGTCTCTGCTAGTCTTTCATGACAGAGATTATGCTTATCAGACTCTGAAGGAGTATACCAGGGATCAACTACTAGAATGCATAAGGTTCGCTCATTGCCTAGTAGATCAGGGCACAGAGTTCTCTGAAGTGCAACCATTGATTCAGGTTTGTGCAGAGTTGGCTTCATCTGGTACCCCCAAATGCAAGGATGAATTTTTGCCGCCATTTAGTGCCGACCAGGTAGAGTCCCTGGTGTGGTTATTGGAGGATGATGTGGATTACTTCTTGGAGCGTTATTCTGCATGTTCACAACAGGTGCTAAGAGATTGTATAAACACAGTGCAGTCTTTGACCAGACAGGCTTTGTGTAAGCTGAGCTTTGTTCAACCCATACTGCAGACATGGTCAGACTTGTTGCACCCAGCCTCAGTCAGCTTGCAACGTCATTCCTCTGCTCAAGGCACTCTTCCTGCATCCCCGACAGCACCCCCAGTGACGGCCCAGTATACTCTGCTAACTACCACATATCAGTCCCCTGCTCCCACTCGCTGCACCTATCTTATCTTTAACCCTGTAAAGAAGTCCTCTGTAGCAACTGCTCCCTCCTTTGTTCCATCCCTCAGCTCTTCTCTGCCTACAGCTGCTCTATCCACTTACAAACCTGCGCTTACTTCCTGCGCTCCAGTAAACCAGGAAAAAGCGCAAATTCTTTCCAACCAATACCATCCTGCCAGTATCCAAACCGGTCAGCCTGCCGTCTGAGAACCCGCCTTCCGTGGTTCAGCCTGATACCCTGATGCCCGATGACCCAGTGTACCCTACCCAGCTTGATGTGTCTACCCAGCCTGATGGTCCTATTATGCCAGATGACTCGGTGCCCACTGTCGAGCCAGATGACCCCATGCCTGATGACCCGGTGGCCCCGCTGTCGAACCAGATGACCTGGTACCCACTGTCGAGCCAGATGACCTGATGCCAGATGACCCGATGCCCGCTGTCGAGCCAGACGATCCAATGCCTGATGACCCGGTGCCCGCTGTCGAACCAGATGACCCGGTACACGCTGTCGAGCAAGATGACCTGATGCCAGATGACCCGATGCCCGCCGTTGAGCCAGATGACCCGGTACCCACTGTCGAGCCAGATGACCCGATGCCTGATGGCCCGCTGTCAAGCTTGGTGACCCAGTGCCCGCGGTTCTGCCAGATGACTCGGTGCCCGCTGTCCTGCCAGATGACTCGGTGCCCGCTGTCGAGCTTGGTGCCAGTGACCGCGGTGCCCGCGGTTCTGCCAGATGACTCGGTGCCTGCTGCTGCCTCCGCCTGATGGCCCGGTGCCCCGCTGCTCCGCCTGATGGCCCGGTGCCCGCTGCTCTGCCTGATGGCCGATGGTGCCACCGCTGCCTTGCCTGCTGCTGCTCCGCCTGATGGCCCCCGATGCTCCGCCTGATGGCCCGGTGCCGCTGTTCCGCCTGATGGCCCGGTGCCCGCTGCCTTGCCTGCTGCTCCACCTGATGGCCCGGTGCCCGCTGCTCCACCTAATGGCCCGGTACCCGCTGCTTTGCCTGATGGCCCGGTGCCCGCTGCTCCGCCTGATGCCCGGTGCCCGCTGCTCCGCCTCATGGCCCGGTGCCCGCTGCCTTGCCTGCTGCTCCGTCTAATGGCCTGGTGCCCGCTGCTCCGCCTGATGGCCTGGTGCCCGCTGCCTTGCCTGCTGCTCCGCCTGATGGCTTGGTGCCCGCTGCTCCGCCTGATGGCCCGGTGCCCGCTGCTTTGCTGATGGCCTGGTGCACGCTGCCTTGCCTGCTGCCCAGCCTGACGTACCTCTGCCTGCTGCCCAGCCTAACGTGCCTCTGCCTGCTGCCCCGCCTGACGTGCCTCTGCCTGCTGCCCCGCCTGACGTGCCTCTGCCTGCTGCCCCGCCTGACGTGCCTCTGCCTGCTGCCCCGCCTGACGTGCCTCTGCCTGCTGCCCCGCCTGACGTGCCTCTGCCTGCTGCCCCGCCTGACGTGCCTCTGCCTGCTGCCCCGCCTGACGTGCCTCTGCCTGCTGCCCCGCCTGACGTGCCTCTGCCTGCTGCCCCGCCTGACGTGCCTCTGCCTGCTGCTGCCTGACTGCTGCCCCTGACTGCCTCTGCCGCTGCCCTCTGCCTGCCTCTGCCTGCCCGCCTGACGTGCCTCTGCCTGCGCCTGCGTGCCTCTGCCTGACGTGCCCCTGCCTGCTGTCCCGCCTGACGTGCCTCTGCCTGCCTGTCCCGCCTGACGTGCCTCTGCCCTGCCTGACGTGCCTCTGCCTGCTGCCCCGGCCTGACGTGCCCCGCCTGACTGCCTGCCTGTCCCGCCTGACGTGCCTCTGCCTGCTGTGCCTGCTGCCTGCCCGCCTGTGCCTCTGTGCCTGCTGCCTGCTGCCCAGCCTGACGTGCCTCTGCCTGCTGTCCCGCCTGACGTGCCTCTGCCTGCTGCCCAGCCTGACGTGCCTCTGCCTGCTGCCCCGCCTGACGTGCCTCTGCCTGCTGTCCCGCCTGACGTGCCTCTGCCTGCTATCCCGCCTGACGTGCCTCCCTGCCTGACGTGCCTCTGCCTGCTGCCCCGCCTGACGGTGCCTCTGCCTGCTGCCTGACGTGCCTCTGCCTGCTGCCCAGCCTGACGTGCCTCTACCTGACTCTGCCTGCTGATGCCCTGCCTGCTGCCCAGCCTGACGAAATCCTATGTACCAGCTCCCTGATGCCCAGCCTGCTTCTGGAAATCCTATGTCTAGCAATCTTCCTTCCTGCAGTCTCCTACAAAAAGATAGGCCTATCAGCAGGAGACCCAGCCAATCGCTTGATTCCGGCAGTGGGATGTCCAGCCAGTTGCCGGACCCAGGTGGTGGAACATTTGAGCCATTACGGACTGTTTGGAGCGTCCTGAGGCCGCTCCTTGAGGGGGGTACTGTCAGGAATGGACTTGCCAGTGGTGGTGGGACTCACCTACCTTGTGGGCTGCAGTACCAGGGCTGGCCAGCGGGTGCTCTCAGCAACCAGAGGCTCACTCCTGCAATGAGCCATCACCTGAGGCTGATTACAGCAGGTGTATTTAAGGAATGGCCAGGCCTGTGATCAGGGCCTTGGTGTATGTTTCTCATGAGCCCCTGTACCTGCATCCTGTCTGCTTCCTGCCTGATCCTGATTCTGCTTTAATCCTGACTCTGCATGAACTCTGCCTGTCCTGACCTCGGCTATTCCTGACTACGCTTCCGCCTGCTCCTTGTACCTTGCCTGCCCGTTTGCTACCGACCCGGCCTGCCCGACTACGTTTGGTATTGTTCTTATTGTTATCTGTTGGAGGTTTTGGTTGCACTGTGTTTATGTTTAGTCTTGCACTGCGTTTATTTACTGTTTAGTCTTTAATAAATTGTATTGTTTATACTATACCTGGAGCTTGTGTTTCCCTGTGTCAGTCCACACATTTCTGGTCATACCCGGATCCCGAACAGATATGCTGGACAGGTACATAACACTGTTTCAATATATGCATATTGTGCAATACATATGAGACACTGAGCAGTTATCAAAGAAAAGGAGAGGTTAATCACAGACCACTCAATTTGGCTATATCAGAAGTACCAAGATTTGCTTGCTGTCTTCACTCTCTACCCCTATTTTATGTTGGCTAAGCACATAACACGGCTCTGCAGCTTACGCATGTATTTGCAAATGTGTGCTAACTAAACCCCTATTTTTAACGCATACTGTTAGAGAGGCTCATTCAGTTTGCTTGCAAGCTGGTTGGTAAGTTGAGCTGGGAATTTTTATCTCTTATTGTTTGACATGCGTCGCCCTTCCATGTGTTCCTTACTGTGAAGGCTAGTTATACTATGCTAAAACTAAAAAAAAAGTACTAAAACTGGAGCTCTCAGAATCTGGTACAGCTGTGCATGGTAGCCAATCAGCTTCTAACTTCAGCTTTTTCAATTGGAATGGATGGAACACATTGCAAGTGATTACGTCCAGATTGGGTAAAGGGATAGGCACATTGTGAGCTCACCTACTGTGAGTAATTTTTTATTTTTGGGTACTTCCAACACTCGCTCTGGAGTGAATAAGGAGGATTTTCCTATAAAGAGAATATGACATATAGAGACGGGTGAAGACAAGACAACTCAGCAGTTTTTGAAAGCCTGTTTTGAGCGTTGAAGGGTAAGAGTATATAGAAAGGGACACATGAGCAGATTAATTGAATGTGAGCACCTTTAATGGGATTTTGAGCACATTTATTTTAGTGTGGAAAATATAACACCATATAGTTTTTTTTTTCTAGCGTGCTCATCATGTCAATGGGATTTGCATCCAAGGATCAAGGGAGTGGAAGACTTTTATGATTGGTATAGAGGTACTTAATTCGATATATTAGTTATAAAAGTTAATGAAGAATATTCTAAGGGAACATAGTGAACTAACTTAAGAGGCATATGGGTCTATGAGAGCTGGTTAACATTAACATTTTTTTCTACGGGGGGCAGAGTGTTTCCAGCTGCTGTGACTATTGGAGAGATCATAGCTCTAGTGGGCTGATACCAGGGGTGGACTGACTATTTGACCACTCGGGCACTGCCCGAGGGCCCGGGGTCAGTAGGGGGCCCCATGAGATGCCTCTGGTACCTTTTATTGGCTTTTTCATAGGCTTTTTTTGGGTGTGGGCGAGGACACAGGGGCCCCATGATCCCCTATTTGCCCGAGGGCCCCACGAGTTGTCAGTCCACCCCTGGCTGATACTTAACGTTTTCAGCATGAGTTAAACTAACCTGGGTTAGTTTTGAGCAGAGCCAAACCTGAACCCCTTTTGAAATCAATGGGATGTGAGGGGGTGTCAAAAATAGGATGGGGCTGTGGGCAGGCAGGAGCAGTAATTTTTAAATGCTTAACCACTTGCTGCCCACATGCCCGAATTGTACTGCGGATGGGTGGCAGCTACAGGCAGAGTGACGTACCTGTACCTTGCTCTGCTCTTCCAGATTCACGCACAATACAGGCACAGGATCTAGCTGGATCTTCTCTCCCTGGAACCTTTTCATTCCAGCTAGAGAAGAAAGAGACACCACACTTGAGTAAAAGCAGCACATTTGCACCCACACGTTAGACACATTTTAACTCCCTGATTGCCATTTTTAACCCTTTGATCACCCCACCACCCAACCAGTGTCATTAGTACAGTGTCAGTGTTTAGTATTTTTCACCGATCACTGTACTGCCACTAGCAAAATCAGATAGCGTCAAGGTCAGTTAGCGACGCTCCCAGCCAGGGTCAGTTAGCATTAGATTGCCCCCACATTATCGCACTCATGCTATAGGTCACTGACCACCACCATTACTAGTATACTGTTTGTATAGATCAATATATTGATCATGAACAGAACTATACTAGTGCCTCCTTAGTATTAGTGTCCCCAAAAATGCAGTGTAAGCAGGATCAGCCCCGTTCACTGTCAGCACATGCATTTAGCCCCTTTGCCCCCCCCCTCCCAACAAGAAGTGCAGTGTCAGTGTATTTTTTCATCACTGTCACCTGTGATACATTGCACACAAAACAGTATTAGCAGAATCAGACCTGATCTCTGCTAGCACTAGCAGGGGATTTTATTGGTAGCATTTCAAGCAGTCCTTGACAGCCAGGTGCTCTTTTTCCTGTGAGTAGCTAGGTACCTGTAAATTTAGTGCCCAAAATGCCCAAAAAGAGGTACAATAGTGAAGAGGCCTACAGGACTCTAAGCATGTAAGATGAGAGCAAAGGGGAAGCCTCTCTGACAGAATCTGCAACACCCCAACAGGTAGTTCGGACGATGGAGAAGAGGTCCCTGTTAAGATCAGGTGTACCTCGACCCCATGTACTGTAGCTGAAGTGCTAGGAATGCATGACTTGTCTCAGCAGGAAGTCAGTACTAGTGCCACACTAACTTTTAGTGAAGTGGTGAGCACCAGCGGCCTAGTACATCCTGTCATTTTACATACCAGCACGGCAGTATCACTTAGTGATGTGGCGAGTCCCATAAGTGCATTACAAGCAGCGTCCCACAGCCACCAAGAATTCTTACTTCTCCCATTCACTGCCCAACCCCGAATTCAGGTGGAATCAGCAAATGTAACTGCTCCCCTTTTTTTAGCTATTTTTCACAGAAGATTTGTATACTTTGATTGTGGGCGAAAGCAATTTATATACAATATATCACTGCCAACCCAAATTCAGCTCTTGCCATTTGCATGGAAATATATTGTGGTTTCCAAAGTGAAAACTTTATTGGGCCTAACCCTTAACATGGGCATT